CGTTTAAACGTGTTTGATCTTTTCTGAAACCTGTCTTTATTTGAAAATCTAATATGTCATTACTTGTTATCAAGTTGAAATTCTGAACATTGACCACTAAATTTGATCTTTCTACAAATTATTTCTTTTTACTGCCTGCTTTATATACCCTTTATTTTTTAAACGAATCGGTTCATCTAAAATAGCTATTGTGAAACAAACCTATCAACTTTTGAATATCAATCTCTCAGTTCTAATACCGAGGAAAAGAACATAAAATACGAAAAGAACTTGTAAAGGCCTCCCAATTGAGGAAACACTATAACATGTTGGTACAAGTACTTGTACGTACATAGATTGAAATCTACGAAGAAGACCTCTAAACAAATCTTGTAAGCACCGAACTACTGTCAGTAATGTAAATCCCTGAAGAGATATCTAGCATTTCAAACAATAACATAAGAAAACATAATAATTTACTTAACTTATTCGTGATTGCAGTAGTCGTTGAGCATTGAAACCAGACATCGGTCATCATTGGTAATCATGCTCACCCCGGCACTGCCCGATACTATGTTGTCGTAAAACAAGTTGCGACCTCTCGAGTCTAGTGGTACATACTGTAGGACATCCAGAACTTTCTGAAACGTAAAGGACCTCGAGAAAGCCTTTGTTACCAATTTTGTTATTTTATTTGAAGCTTCGGTTTTACGCTTTTTTATATATAGATGTTGATTGTACTATCTGAGGTGATTGGAGTCATATTATTAACAGTTTATAACCAAAAGACATCTAACGTACCTGTTCAAACTAATCAATTTATTTTTTCGTAATATAAAAGTTTTACCTTCTGTAATATTCTCCTCATATGACTGTGCTATTGTAAGTCAGCTGTTTCAACTATGTAGTAACGAGTAATATGGAGGTTTCTTCAAATGTGTCTTGAACTTTCGAATTAAATTCGACAAAAGTTGTCTAATCTGTTGGTTTATTGAATAAAACGAAGTGTATGTGTTGACTACACGGTGACAAAGCTCAGAATCACGGATTGTATCCAAAGCCCCGTTATAATTGAGAGATCGCGAGCAAGTTCCCGCTGAAATCACGAGCAAAGTCCTTTTTATTTAATTCATCTGGAAATATGGACCAAAAAGGTAAGACTACGCATTACTGTTCTTTGATACTTTAGGTATACTTTCAGAACAGGTATATCTTCACAAACAATGACATGAAAGATAACTATTTTTACTGGCATGGAAGAAACGGGCGTCAATATGCACGTTTGCATAATTTACTGTTAACATATTACTTTTATGGTTAAAATAGAGACAAGAACTACGATATACATACCTCATTATGAATATTGGACCAACATTGTATGTATTGATAAGTTTGTTTTCAAAAACATCCACTGTGGGGGGTGAAATACATCATTGAAGGTGTGCCAGTGGCCCCGCTGAAATTATGAGGAAGCCCCGCTGAAAACATGAGGAGGTCCCGCTGAAAACAGGAGCAGATATCACGAGTACCCGCTTCGATCACGAGGAAAGCTCATTACTATTACATAAAATATTGAGGTTCTTCAAATAAACGTACACGAAAGACCAAGTTAAGTACTTTTAATAATTACTGTATATATACTGTTTCATTCTAGGGCCAGGTTTCTAATGTTTCCATTCCAACTTCAAGCCACCAGAGAATTCGTCGAACATTTTATAGAGTTGCATCCATATCAAAATGTATAGGAGAAAGGTGGATATCATTTCAAGAATGAACTTAATTGAAGCCTGAGGTTCAGGGTAATGAGTCTTGTATTAAACAAAGACACCCCAAGTTGCAAGAAGATGAAATTTAGAGAGAAAGGAGAACCACAAAGTCTCCATGATAATTCAGGTTCTACTTTTATAATTTAACAATAACATTTAACAATTTTTATTTATTAAAATAATGATGATTTGTATTCCATACCTGATAATTTTCAGGGACATATCAACCGGGGAATATATTCCATATCCGGGAAAATATTTTTCGTATGTCCCGCTCAAACGAGGATACGGGACATATAAATCGTATGTCCTGCATAAGCCATTTTCCTGGACATATTGTTACGCGGTAAACACGATTCAAATATATGTCATATTCCACAATGAATATGGCATATTCACTTGTGGAGTATGATAGATTCACCTGCTGTATATGGCATACTCACCTGCGGTGTAAGGCATATTCTGCAAGTGAGTATGACATATTCTGCGAGCATGGGGTATTTACTGAAATCAAGGTATCACATATTCAATACGGAATATGCCATACTCACCTGCGGAATACGCCATATACCACAGCTGAGTATGGCATATACATCCGTATCACAAATACCACGCAACCATGAATAATGCCATATTCTGCGTAACACATACGATGTTACGCGGAGTATGGCATACATTTATGGTTGCGTGGTATTTGTGATACGGGTATACAGTATATGCCATACTCACCTGCAGTTTATGGCATATTCCGCAGGTGAGTATGCGATATTCCGCCGTGAATATGTGATACATTGATTTCAGTGAATACCTGATATTCACCTGCAGAATATGTCATACTCACTTGCCGAATATGTCATATACCGCAGGTGAAAATGACACAATGATTACCCGTTTGTTCAATCAATGCAATTGACAATTGCGTACTTCTGTATCGTGTTCTCATTGCTTAGTGGGTATGCAATATACTGCAGCTGAATCTGTCATACACCGCAAGTGAATATGCCATATTTATTGCAGAATATGACAAATATTTGCATCATGTTTTCCGCGTAACACGTGCGTTTAACATAACCTACGATTAATTGTTAATGATGAAATTATTTGATTATTATTATTTCGGACTCATAATCGGATGATGTAATCCTTTGTTACTTACATCTAGCAGTTCATCCATAAATTGCCTTTTCAAACGTGTGCGCCATTGGTGCTGAATCCTCTAAGGTAGTAATATACTGATCTACAGTATAATGTAACTTCAGTGAAATATAAATATATATTGCATACAAAGAAGAACGAGTTATTTGAAACTTGTCAAAAGTCGTGGAATGGATTTAAATCTTCTCTTGGTAAATTTCTCGATGGAGTCAGGTCGAAATACATTAAGTGAAATGGTTTTATTGGAATCATGCTTGTAGCCAGCTTTTGGTAAGGGGGGGGGGGTTGCTCGAACCGATAATAACAATGACAATGATATATGATATATATGTGCTCTGTAGAGTATCAATAATTAATATATTTATTACGTTGGCTACAGGCAGATTTGCAAAGTCAAATCGGTCTTCACTCCATTTTAGAGAGCCACTTGCTCCTGATTTCAGCGGGACCTCCTCATGTTTTCAGCGGGGCCTCCTCATGTTTTCAGCGGGATCTTTAGTTTATTGCTCATGGTAGAAGCGGGGCCTCAAGGGATATGCTAAAATTGAAATATATAATTTTTCGTGAAACTTTAGGAAGTGAAACTCACAATACCTTCATTTCATATTACTATGACCATTTCAACTGAAGGACAATGACCTTCTTCAGCTATAAAATATAGAAATATATAGATAAAGATTCAAGATGATACATTCTCTCTCCAATTATCGAATAACAAAACTCAGAACATCAGCTCGTGATCCTTTTTTGCAGAAGTTGCTTTTTAGTATCAATACCATGTAATAATTTAGTAAAATTAAATGAAAACGCTTTTTATAACATACAATTTAAGTAAACAAAAGATAACCCTTCTTTTCTTTTAATTGCTCGCGATTTCAGCGGGTATTTGCTCGCGACTTCTAAATCATAGCGGGGCTTTAGATACTACCCGTGAGAATGTCTTTCTATACACTCTACCTTCACCACAAAAACATCCACTCACTCACATAACTCTACATTGAACTGAACTCATCGTTCAGCCAATAGAAAGCATTTATGTTCTAAAGTCGCTACGCTCCACCGAACATAAATAGGCATTCTCATTTGTTTGGAACATTTCATTATAAATTCTCCGAAAAATAAGTCAATCTTAGAATGTCCATAACGTTCCACAACTAGTTACTTTGACGGAACGTCAATGTAACAAAATGGATGAACTTCCTGGATACGAGTTTTTTGTTTTCTCGATTTGAACTAACGTTGAACTTACTTAGCTTTTAGAAACGCCCTCGGTTTGGAATTTGATTTTTAAATAAAGCTGTATAAATAATGCATTTAACCATCGATTCTGTTACATTGACGAACATGCATTTGTAATATAACGGACTTTTGTCAATGTAACAAAAGCGAGGGGCTAAATATATGAATTGCAACTTCATTTGCGAAACAAATTCCAAACTGAAGAAACGTATTAAAACTAGACTTTATTTTCTAGCTTTGTGCCAAATTATAATCTGCAACTTGACTTACAAGAAGTCCAGGAAGTTCATCCATTATGTTACATTGACGTTCCGTCAAAGTAACTATAACTAGTTGTGGAACAGTGACAACATTAATATTTTGAATACCGAGGTTTATGTTCTAAATACAATGTCATTATGTGTTCCATAAATTCTAATGTTTATTGCATAGATATTAAAGAAATCATTCCAGTTTTGGATGTGGATATTTTTGAATCCCCGTGAATCGAACAACTATTGATATATGGGGTTACATAATGAAGGTTGTTGAAAAAATGTATCAACGTCGTTAACTAACTAATCATTTTTGCGATCTACCCTTCTTAGAATATTACGTAAATGGATCGTAATTAGTTCTCATTCGGAACTTAGTTACTATCTGAGATGCAATACAAAAACTAATTAGTCAACATAAAAATCCGAAAAGAGTAATAAATGTCGGCACCCTAATACTTATCTAAGATAGGAAGTCGTGTTTAATTAAAAAAAAGAATATCATATCAACTGTAAAAGATGAAATATTTGAGTGTGGAATTGAAGGTTGTTCAAAGTATAGTTCTTAGAAATATCCAACTACGATACGACATCGGTTAAGAACAAGATGTTCGAGTTCAGAGATATCATCGTTCTTAGTTTATCTGTGTCGATCTTTCGCAACGGGGAAGCTATCGAGGGGACAACTAATCTTTTTTACCCGGACATCGCAGCTTCTCCGGGTGATTTCATACTTGGAGGGATATTCCCGCTGCATGAGTTTAACGCACTCTACCCGTGCGGACGTCATATTCGATCAATGGGATCGATCCTAAGGTACCAAGCCATGATCTTCGCAATAGAGGAGATCAACAGAAGAGATGATATTCTCCCTAACGTGACGCTGGGATATATGATAACGGATAGCTGTCACACTGACATGACAGCGTCCGCACAAGTGCTACGAATCGTTATACAGAAACAAATAGAAAACAAATGTTCGCTCGGAAATGAGAGCATTCCTATTGATATGAATAGGGTTGTTGGTTTCATCGGACCACAGGCCAGTGATGCTTCGATCCTAGTGGCAAACATCCTCGGTGTGTTACAAGTTCCGCAGATAAGCTTCCTTGCCACCACCGATGTGCTTTCTGATAGGATCCGTTACAGCAACTTCTTCAGAACGGTTCCATCGGATGTTTTCACTGTAGAGGCTTTGGTTGACCTGCTGAAACGATACAACTGGAGGTATATCTCAGCTGTTTATACACCCGGGGACTACGGGTCGATGGCGTTACAAAGACTGTTTAGACGTACAATTAACCACAATATCTGTTTTGGACAGGTTATCAGTCTAAGACGAGGCGCCAATATTGACGAAGAATTCGATGCCGTAATCCATAGACTTCGAATGGTTCGTAAGGCGAGGGTGGTCGTGTTATATATTTCCAACACTGCGGATGTTATTACATTAATGAAGCATGTCAATCGCCTAAACGCAACGGAAGAGTTCATATGGATAGGGTCTGATACTTGGCCGTGGCATGTTAAAGATATGGAAAATCAAGGAGGCGCCATGATCGGATCTTTTGCGTTGCGTCCTTACACTATCAAGGTCCCTGAATTTGATAATTATTTTACAAACTTACAGTACAAGGATGTCGTAAATAACGTCTTCTTGAGAAAGTTTATGGAGACTAAGTTTCGGTGTTCTCGAAACGCAACTAATCCTTCAAAGAAATGTAAACCAGATTTAAGAATAACTGAAAGACACGGCTTCTTTTCTGATTCTAAGGTATCCCTAGTGATAGATTCTGTGTATGCAATGGTTTTTGGACTTAATACAGTTTACATGGAATGTATTGATGTTGTTTCACGAAGGAAAAGTACATTTCACAGACGTGACGAAATCCTTGAGTGCGTCACACAAGAGAAAGTAGTACAGGCTATTAGAGATGTTAGTTTTGAGGGTCTTACAGGGGAAATTGCTTTTGACTTATTCGGCAGTACTCTTGAAAAACGCTTCGAGATCGTCAATATGAAAAGGGGTGTATTGGGAAATCTCCAGATGCAGCGTGTTGGCATATGGTACATAGATCAAGTTGATATCGAAGGACAAGTTGGAAGTCACGAAGAGACTGATAAAAGAAATGTCAAAAGAAAGGACAGAGGCCAATACTGCTATGATGTCCAACGACAGAACACGATCAAGGAATGCATAAATATAACACGTACCACACAGGAGAACGATATCGACCTTGATGATCTGGAAATCATGACTGAGATTGAATCTCTAGCTGGAAATCTTGTGATGGATACTGATGCCATATATTGGCCGAGAATAGATCCTGGTGAAGGTGGTGTTATTCCTGAATCAGTCTGCAGCAGGGATTGTACAGTCGGCTCCAAACGTCAGTTCTCCACTCTCTGTTGCTGGACTTGCCAGCGCTGTAGGATGAATGAGATCACGGATCAAAACCAAACAAACTGTATAACATGTCCGCCACACTACTGGCCTGACCAATCAGAAAGAAAAACGTGTCTCAAAATCCGCGCTACTCGACGTTCTTGGGGTGACACCAGTAATATCATAATGATCATATTCACAGCGTTTGGGATGTCGCTCGCAACTTTGATTCTTATTGTTTTCGTGAAGTATCGAGAGGACAGACTGGTCAAAGCGTCCAGTAGGGAGATGATGTTTATTATGATTGCTGGGCTTTATGTGTCTTTTATTGTTGTTTTCTTCTTTGTGTCTACACCAAGCGGTAAGTACTAATAGTCTTGGAATTTGTTTTACAGTAGTCTTTGCATTTTTTACTAATATGGTTTTTGCATTTTTAATACTGAGCTCTCATCATTCGTTCCAGAATATCTTCCATTTAGTTTTTGATAGTCTTGCCTCAAGACCCTGGATTATCCACTCTAACAATCGCAACTGTGTTATTAGATAGAGAGCCAGGTCCACTGTCTTGAAGCAAGACTAGTTATTGATAATTATCCAGATTCTGGACACCTGCGTTCAGGATAAACATTTATAAACTAAATTAATATATGGCTCTATGTATGCATACCTTTAATTCTTTATCAACCAGAAGGCGCTCGTTCGAACATATTAGAGAGTCTATCTTATTTTTTGGCTTTATGTTTTGCAGTGACGTCATGCTATGTAGACGCGTTCGGACTTGGGTTGAGTTTCACAATGTGTTACGCCCCGTTATTGACTAAGACACGACGGATATATGTCATCTTTAAGTCTGGATCAAAGACAACCCAGAAACCAAGATTTGTTGGAACACGTTCTCAACTTGTCATCGCCATTGTCTTAATTATAATACAGGTATAGTATGCGTTTTAGTAAAACACGCGATACCAGTGCATTGCGTTGAAGAAATCTTTGTCAGAAAATGATTTGTCGCTCTAAATCAGATTGATTTCCAATTTCATTTGATGTACATTTACCAAAGATCACAGAGCTTCCTTTTGTAAGCTCGCCAACTCGCTAACTGCGAACTCCCACTTCCGGGGAGTTCACCAAATAATTTGGGTAGGTATGTGCAGCACGGTCAATTTTGAGCATGGGAAATTGTCTATGAAAGTACCCTTTTCAAAATTCAGTCTTTCTACAAAATATTGTATAAAATTCGTTAAATCAGTTGTTAAGGCCTGGAACAAATCACTAGAAAAGTTGATTTTTAGTCAATTGGTCTCAGAGGAATTAAACATGGAAACCTTCAATCTTGAGAGGAAATTGACATGGAAAAATGCTCAAAAGGGGGGTCTTTGGGGCAGCACATAGGTATTAAGTATATTGGAGTGAAACCCCCGGGCTCCCACTGCCCATATTAGCTGGTTTCAGCCCATTAGCAGATTTTGTAATATAACAACGATAGTCATGGTCACTTAATAGATGGCATCGATTACCCGAAAAGACAAATTGAACCCAGGCAATCTTTTACTCACTATATGCAAACTCTTTTACCTACAATATAAAGATGTCTCACTGTTACATTGTCTGTTTCAGATCATCATTAGCACTATTATCGCAATAGCGTCACCTCCTAGTATCATCCGTGAAATGCCAAATCCAATGGAACCTCACGTAGAAATCACATGCAACGTCTCTATCGGAGGCATGATTGCTTCGATATGTTATAACGTCTGTCTGATTCTTCTTTGCTGTGCATTCGCCTGGAAGGCAAGAGGGTTGCCAGCAAACTTCAACGAAACTAAATTCATCATGATCTCAGTGTACACTACATTGATTCTATGGATTGCCTTCATACCGAGCTACTTCACTGCATCTGCTGGACATCACCGTGTTACCTTAAGGAACTTGGCGTTGATCATAAATGCATACGTCACGATTATATGCATGTTTGTTCCAAAGCTATACGCCATTTTCTGCGCCAATGAAACCAGTGGTACGGGTAAAACTGGTGATGTCTCTCAGGCTAGAGATAATTCTGTTGTCCCAAGTAACCTTGGTAATAACACAATCGTCGTCAGTGATGCGGACAAGGTATATAAAAGTGCTGTACTAGGTGCTAACACAAGTCTGGATGATCCTCGATCCGTAGCCGCAATGTTTACTACGAAGAGTGTGGGCAGTAACTTACTCCCATCACGATTAATGATGTCGACTACTTCTAAAAGAAGCAGCGAGAGCACAGTTGCAATTGCCCAGTTAGAGAGTTAGTGACATTATGTTCGTTATAGAGCTTTTTTGAGGCGATATATTGTTATAGTTCCCAACTTTTTGTAGACGACGTTCGGTGCTCGGCTGTTGGTGTTCGGCGGTCGGCTTTTGGCGTCTGTTTACATTTATATTGTGAATCCGATTAAGTAGTAAAGAACTGAACTAATTGATTTGTTTATATAATAGAGTTGGACTGATAAGGAAACACACCAGATCAAAAGAAACGTGAACTTCCTAATAATGAACCAAATGCTGTCTCCAGATTGATCATATATTAAGATATTATATTTAGGTACCTAAAAATATAATCCATCAATATTTTGTAACCATGCCATTACTGACTATTCAGCATGATGATTTTTATTTTTAAATTCCATGAATTCTGCTATTCTACCGCATCCTGCGCCATGTGTATAAGATCAACGACACTATATATGTGCTATTGTGCTGTCAACACAACTGTTTACCATGACCATGCAATATATATTGAAAATATATAAGGGTTATGTACCGGGAGGTTTTGGATATTGGGTTTATCCAGAGGGAGATATGCATATCTACCCGAAGGACCGTAGGGACCAAAGGTAGATCTGCATATCTCACGAGGGATGAACCCTATATCCAAACCGACCGTACATAACTGCTTTATCCTATACCAAGTTGAGTTTTCAGTGGCATATGGCCATTTCAATAGTACAAGGTGTAAAAATAAACAAATCATTCATATGCAAAGTCATTTATATGCACCGAAGCGGGAGATATGGCGGGAGATATGGAGGTTCTGGATATGGAAACCTTAAAATCAGGATACGGGATATATCTTACCAGCTTATCTCCCTAAAACTCTACTTGGCATGGGATAATGTTTAAATTATTTCTTAAAAACAGCTTTAATGTTGATTTTTTTGGGACAAAAATCAAATGTTGCTATGGAGACTCGGACAACAAAACAGATTATGCATCAAGTCCGTCGATGATTTCCAACTGGTTAATAAAATATGTTTCCCGCCATCTCTCAAAAGGGGTTGTTTGATATGTCGTACTCATTCAAAACTAACACGTTTTATAATGTCCATATGTTTTGTATCCTCCTCAAACTCTACATATTCAATTTACTAAAAAAATCGAATTAATTGAGAATCTATATAACAATCATTTAAATACTACATTGGATTAGTCTTATTTCTGAAAATAACTGTTCGAAATAATTTATGTGCATTCATCAAATCTTAATGCTTGGAGGATACAAAATATTGGACAGCAGAACCTAAGTCCACCACAAAAATAATGTTATGTTTTCATGTCTTTATGTTTTCAGTGTCTGTCATTTAAGAGGTAGCCCAGAAGGGCACTTTCTGGCGAAATCTCAAACAAATGATGCACCAGCAATGTTAATTTAAACAATGTGTTGGAAGATACAAATGGTATATGCATAGAAAAAGTATTTCATTGCACACACATCTAACATCGCCCTTTTAAGACCTGATGTCAAACATATTTTTTATGTAGTATGAAAAATATCAATGCAATCGATGCTCTGTATGTACTGTAATCCGGATTTTGTATCACCACAAACAAAACAAAACTTTGTTTTTGACAAAAAAATCATCATTTAAGCTTTTTTGAGAAATGGTAACAATATTTTCAGTATACATCACTAGTCACTAGATGACTTTCAAATAGCGCACATCAAATGTACCTGGTATCATCACATACAGCACTGGCTTCAGTAAAAAAACTGATTTTGAAAATATCAATTATCGTAAATTTGCCCTTGTACATTACGCCATGCTTGGAAAGTTTTTTGCCATAAATCACTCAATGTGAGCAATTATAAAACAAATAAAATGTAAATAAATAAAATCATATATGAGCTGAAATGTCGGTTTCATGTTATTTTTGATTTGTGATGTCTGGGTTGAATATACTAAGGCTATCTCTAATGAAATTAAAATTTTCGTACGTATTTTGAAGTATCTATAAAGTGCTATAAATGATCTCTAATTCTTTATTGCAGATTGTTCCAGAAGTCATAACCATAAGAAATTTTTCAATACAAATCGAAACTTCATTCTTGCTGTCACACGAAAGAATAATGATAAAGTTTTGGATGGATCGATACTCTACGATTGAATTATATAGGATGTCAAACTATTGTAGAAAATACAAAACAAAAGCATGGAAATTAACTTTCATAAAATTGACCGTAAGATTTCAAAATTGATGAATATGTAATCAAAATAAAAATGAGCTCCAAATCAGACTGATTATGATTGACATAAAAACAACATTAAAACCCACCCAAACGCAATATTGCTATCATGTATTTTTATCTTTATTATCACATAAGTGAGATGTTTTGGCTAATGCAATGTAATAAAGCAAACGCTGGATTTCATCAAGTCGAACACTGATTGGAACCAACCGCCAGTAATAGTTTTAGCGTTTATACACTGTGGCCTTCAAAGATTAGTAGCTGTCGCTTGAATTGACAAATAATATTTTTCAAAATTTGGGGGAACGAAAGTAGTGCAAAAATGCCAGACCACAGCTGAAACGTGGTCATATTCAAAAAATAAGACATGAAACAATTGTGGGATCCCACAGCCTGTACTATCCCTGGCCTTGCACTGGCGGAGCCAGGGAGGGGGACATAGGGCCCCGAACATTTTAGGGACCTCAAAATTTTGTAGGGCCTCAAGGCATAGGGCCTTTAAAGGCTTTTTTGGGCCTGGTGTAAATTGTTGCACTGGTGTAAATTGTTGGTTAACAATGCACATGCGTGGCAACTAAACTTTTTTTCCTTCAAAATCAACCACATTTTGATAACATTTAGTAAGACTATAATACCCGATGTGGTTTAAACTATATGGGGACTTTAATCAATTTGTCGTTGTCAATGGCCATAATTACTTAAACTTTACCTTGGAATTAGATAGCATACAGAACCCCAAGTTGTCAATATAAAGTATACTGTTATTTATTACTTATCTATTTAAGTTGTAATAATATCGTTGTTAATAAAAGACAATGATTTAATGTCATGCGTTCCTTTGTTATTGCTAAGCATTAACTTTAACATGGCCATTCGATTTAATAATTCAGTCTATTTATGATAGAGACAATATCATACCATAGTCACTGTTCTGCAACTAGTTACTTTGACGGAACGTCAATGTAACAAAATGGATGAACTTCTTGGGCACGAGTCTTTTGTTTTTTCGATTTAAACTTACGTCTAAGTCATGCTGCAGATTATCATTTGGCACAAAGTTAGTCAATATAGCCTAGCTTTTATAAATGCTGTCAGTTTGGAATTTGATTATTAAATAAGGCTGTATAATTCATGCATTTAGGCCATCGCTTTTGTTACATTGACGTAAGTCGTCAAAGTAACACTGGTAAAATAACGGACTTTTGTCAATGTAACAAAAGCGAGGGGCTAAATAATATTATATGAATTGCAACTTCATTTATAAAACAAATTCCAAATCAAAGAAACTATACTATATTTTCTAGCTTTGTGCCAAATTATAATCTGCAACTTGACTTATAAGTAGGTTTAAATCGAGAAAACAAAAAACTCGTAGCCAGGAAGTTCTTCCATTTTGTTACATTGACGTTCCGTCAAAGTAACTAGTTGTGGAACAGTGATAGTGATACTAATACAACACAGCGTACTTTGCAATCGCACACCGTAATTATATGGTGAGCAAAATACAAACCAAGTGCTCCTTTTATCAAATTATTCTGTGACTTTAACCGTGCTTCAGTGATTTTGTTATTTCACTCTGTGCACAAGAGGTACCTGGTATATCATTACAATGGTCGTCACAAAAGCACCGGTTAATATCAGGATGCCATGGTATTCTCTCCTTCATAACTGCGAACGGTAAATGTCAATTGACATTTCCCATTCAAGCTAATCAGAACTCCGTATAGCCATATATAATAAATAAACTATTATTTTTGCCTTGACCTACATTCAGTTAAATTGATTGCCTCTTCAAATTTCAAATTTGCCATTTTGTCCAAATCCACTCCCCTGCTTAATTGCATAATCATCCAAAAGCGAAAGAGGGTCGGAAACAAGATTCTTTCCCGATCAGCTGGGCAACAAGACCAAATAATAGTTTTCGTCGAATTTTCCTAATTCCTTGTGGACATTCGGTTTGTTCGACCATACCAAGTCATGAAAACTCAACAATCTGACAAAAGGCCCCATGTCCTGTGTAGACGCTACGATCCAGATATATTCTTCCGCTTACCCCCCTATCACACCAAACTAGTTCTCACCCGTTCTTGCCAGTCCTACGAAAATGTCGTAAAGCGGGCTCAATCTGGCTGTGGTCGGGAAATGTGTCTTAAATAATTAGCTACTTCGTTCATAACAGTCTCCAATACGTCCATCTCATTCACATACGTTCATACAGTTCGCACACAGTTTAAAACCGATTCGGCAACGTTTTGACGATCACCAGAAAATGTTGAGCATGCTTTAAGTTCTGGAGGACCTACTCGTTCTAGTAGTTTCATGAAGTTTGTAAACAGATCCCAAACGGTTCTTAGTGGGTTCTTAGTACGTCAAATCCGTTCGTGTACAGTTTAAGCCCGTTTTCGAGAAAGTAGTGAGAACTAGTTTGGTGTGATAGTAGGGTTATCAGTTCTAGACATTTGTATGAAGAAACATCCCTAAAAATTCCAGCATCCCTCAAAAGGTTTGGCTGGAAAGCTGTAGACAAGATTTATCGGGACGCCCATCCGACCGACCGACTGACCGCCCGATCTTCCATCCGCCAGGCAAACTGATCACAATATAGCTCCAAAGGTTGCGATAAAATGTTCACTAGCTTTGTTTACATTTAACCTTAAAATTATAATGGTACTCATTTTACGAGTGATGTTTGTCATTTTGTTACAGCATACAGCAACAGTTATAATTACTAAAACGCTGGATATTGTCAGCAACAAATACCTAGCAATATTTATATGGCTTTGCCTAGTCGTAGGATGATACGATTGCCCAGTTCAAGAAGACTGTGTATTTCGATAAGCAAGTCATACAACTCTTGACAATAAACGCGTATCGCAAAAGAGTCTACCAAAATTGCACATTATACGGTTATATTTAATCTATTTCTTATTCAGTTACAATTTACACACATATAGAGGATTAGACTAAATATGTTGAGATTAGGTGAAGGGCTTGACGTTTTTCTTCGATGTACTTATAACATTATTAAAAGAAAATTTATGTCCAAAGAACAATAATATGATGTAATACAAAATTTATTATAGAATAAAATACATCTAAAACAATGATTAACATTTTTATAACCTAATACCAGTGTTCTTTGAATATAAATTACAATTTACATTTTGCAGGATTAATCAAACATGTTCAGGTTTTGCATTAGCCTCTCCATTTTTCTTGAATGTGCTAAAGCGTTTGAAACTGCATGTCTTCATGGTGCTAACTCTCTTGATCGTAGTTCTGTTGAGCACCCGGTGATTTATATGAGTACTGGAGTAATTGAAAATCGGACTATCATGCGTTTCGTGGTTGTTTTTCTTCAAACAATATAACTTCATAACTTTCTTAAAGCCCTTTCTATATTTTTTGGAATACATGCAATATATGATTGGATTAACGCTTGTGTTAGATGACCCTAGCCACTGCACTATAGGAAACACGATTGTATGCATGGTATGCTTTAGTGCAGGGGGCATAGTCTCCCCATAATAGAAATATAGCTGTATTGTATACAATGGCAACCATGATAGAGTGAATACAAGCACTACAGCAAATAACATTTTCAGTACTTTCATTTTTGATTCGTAAATGATCCCTGAACATTTTGAGATTCCTGGAGCATCTCGAGTCCATACTCTTATAGCGATTAAAGTGTAGAACGCTGCTATAAGAACAAGGGGAATAGCGTAACACCCAAGAAATATCGCACCTAGAAAATAATGTCTTTCTTGGTATTGTTCCGGCCAATGTTGTGTGCATATGAACAATGTTTGGACAGGCGTTTTACTATATGTCGTCTGTCTATAAAATATCGCCCATGGAGTCATAAGACACACCGAGAACACCCATATCCAAAGGATAATAAATTTAGCAATTCTTCTCGTAATCGTGTATTCCATGGTGAAACAAATCGCCAGATATCTGGAAAAATAGATTTCATGAATATTACATAACCATAAACTGACTGATAAGCAAGATAAGTTGTGCTTTCTTGCAACGCTTCAAACGTTTATTGACTGATGAGAAATATGAGCGCTAAATGTATGTCATCTTAGCTTAAATAAAACAAATTGAATGTCTTCCAGTTAAGTATTTTACGCTATGTGAGAATGCAAATAGTAATAGAGTCATGTCGTTCAATAGGTAATCTTGCTTCAAGATCCTGGACTCCCCCTCTATCTCTCCAGGCCCATAGTCAGGATTTCCCTGGGGAGCGGTATTACCAAGGGGGAGCTTTTGCCAAGCAGGGGGAGGGGCTTTTGACAGTTTTTGGCAAAGAATTATGCGAAAAGTGCTCAGAATGGTGAAAAACTGCACGATTTTGAAAGAATTTCTGGCCGATCCCTCCGCCCCCCCCCCCCTGGCTACGGGTCTGCTCTTTTAACAACAGGGTCTTGTAATGACAGGGGTCCTATCACTGATATTATTTATTCATAGTAAGATGCCTATCATCTATTTACACACAGCATATCCAGCTATTTGTGTAAACTAGAGCATGTATAGTAGCCAGTTACAGTCATTGTTGGACCAGTCTCTATATCGTGGGATCCACCTATGAGCAATGATGACAAACTGGAAAATTTACATAAAATACAGGGTGGGCCCAAAAACTGGAACATTTTTTCCATCCATTGTAACTTTTTGTTAGTCATGTATTATATAGAATACTTTATGAAATTGTAAAACAATTCATTGTCAACAGCTTGTATATAAATATGAATATACAAGCTCAACATTCAATTACCCAAATGCGAGTAGGTAGTTACCAGTTTCACCACCAGGTGGCTGATTCGGGTCAATTAGCATGGCAGGTATATAAGAAAGTTCCCTTAAACTTGAATATTATCAATTTAAGTGGCTCAATTTTCATATAACCTGTATGTGTCTGATACTTATACTAATGAAAATATATCCAGTAAAGCAAAATATTATCTGTCCACTAAAAGAAAAGATATTTCATTTTTTGTGATTTTATAGCATGGGGTCTATGGGGAATCTCCCCGAGCTAGAAGTCACATTTTCAAAGAAAATTAATTTTTCAAAGTTAATAAACACTTTTTAAAACCACATTACTAGATGTAATTTTACATGTAGATTTCAAATATGATATTACTTTGACTGAAGTTTGAATTTTTAATGACGTAAATCAAGATTATTTCTACTCGCATCTGGATTATTATAATGTGGTCAATTAGCTGTTCAATTGCATTTGCTATATATAAAGCACCATTTTTAATATAAGTATCATTAATACATATATTTTTGATGAACATGAAGAAAAAACGTTAACCCTTCTTTTTTGAAGATAATCATGTTATTGTAACATACTAGAATGGGCATTATTACTCTAAAACTGTTCTGCAGGGGGTCTTTGGAGATTGATAAAATTAACATGGGGGCTCAATATTCAAGGTTTTTATAGTTGCTAACGGCTAAATATATCAGAAATAAGAAAGTTTTAGAAATATACCTGTTTGATTTTTTAAATCAATATATTAGCTATAGAAATCTGCAATATTAGAAAATTCCACAGTTCCAATTTTTTAGAAAAGGACACTTTAGTAAACCCACATTGATAGCCGTTTTAATGGTAGTCAATGGGGAAGTTCAAACGCCAATATCTTTTGAAGTAGGAAAATGAAAAAATTTAACCCTCATCAACTGGGGCCAATTTTTAACACAACATTGTTAGATATCCAAAATATATCTTAGTATTAATTTATGCTTTATTGGACTTATATCTCGATGTACATTAGATGTTAAAGAGACCAATAAACTTATTAATTAATTAATGATACTTAGGGTCAAAAGAGTGTGCGTTATATATAGTAATTGCAATTCAAGGGTTTCATTGCCTTAACTGGCTCCATTATTACTCAACGCAAGGGTTTCCTGAACATGTCCTACACCAACGGTCATACATGGCTTAAATGATTCTGAGACATATTGTGCCAGTTTTGAAAAGTTGGTCATTTATTATTTTAATAAGTTATATTATTCATGGGAGACATGTTTCGCTTCTCCTGGAGATAACAACATATATGTACTTGATTGAAATTGTGTTGAGACAATTTAAAGTGTAACATGTTGTATGGTATGATAGAGACTGTATTTTCAGCAGTAATGTCCCCAGCAGAAAAAGTGGAAATTTTTCATGACACACGCAGTATAGATCATGTCCATAACAAGTCAAAAATAATTATACATTTTAAATGCATATTTTTACCTTTAATATTTTCACTAATAATCATTTGATCATTATCTGAATTTTTGTGGATTGAAGTGCAATAAAAAGGCAATTAAATAAATAGAAAATTGTTCCAATTTTTATTGGCCCACCGTGTACAAGGCCTCACCTGTCCAATGCTATAGCACCGAGGGTATTTACAGATGCACAGACAACCACACCTTGCACAAATGGAGTAATTTTACACATTGCAGCTCCAAATCGCCACCCTGCAAAACACAACACAAAGTAGATTGAGTAACGGGGCAGATGGGAAGGCATTGATATTGGAAGATGATTTTGGGAATGACAGTCATATACTGTTCCTGTAAACACATTCAAGTGTAAAGTAAAAAATTAATAGAAAGACTGCTAGACAGAACATAGTCAGGGAATTGACGGTACAGCCTGTTAAAAAGGAAACAAACTCAAAGTGCCCCCATTTCAATTCGGAGCGTGCTAGTTGGCTGGGTAGGAGATTTTTTATTAATATGTTTTTGTGAACAATACTAAGCAAGAGCAACCTAATAACATGGCAGCTATTGGTTGATGACTCGCTTCCTTTACCACGGAATAAGATAATAAGTGAGTTAGGAGAGAATTCGTTTCGAAAGATTTGTCATGATTATGCTTTTTTCTAAAAAAAAGAGTCTACCAGTTCTCACTTTATTTCATCTAAAATCGTCAATGACTTCTATTTTTGACCAAATATGTCAATTTTTTCACTGAAACAAAATAAGGATTGTAAAACATTGCTATAATTTTTGAAAATATTGCTTCCAACATTTTACCCTCACTCTCTTCTTATTCCTTTAAAAAATTACAATTCTCTATTGTCAGACTATAGATGGGTAATTTTAAATGTTACCTCTTTATTTAACATCATGCTCAATGACCTTATTCAGAATACAATTTTAGGCTGACTTTTAATTATGCTTTTTAGATGTCTACTTACAGAAGGGTCCTAAGTTGATTGTAAAATCATTGTAATTTTGTTGCACGTCACAATTTGAATATATTTGAAAGGTAATTTAGTTTCAACCAAATATCTCCTTAGTGATATAATTTAACACTAGGTTGACTTTTTGAATATTAGATCTATTATGGAATATGTGATGTATTCCCAAAGATATTTCAATGACAAACTTGAAACTGAAAAGGGTATGGGACAGAGATTTAGATTGAACACTATACAAGGTCGATCCATATATTCTGATAAAAATGCTCTCATTTTGTGATTTTATCATATATCCCTGTCATTTTTTCAGAATCTTGTTGAATTACACAAGTCATACAATTCCAAAACTTTATAGCGATATCATAAATTGATTTTGAGATAAGGTTGCCATGGTAACCTGATCAAAATCTTAACTTTAATCTTTTTAACTATTTCCACATTGTTACAATTACATCTTAGCTGAAATAGCGAAATCAAAGGTTGAAGATTTCGGACTTCATAACTTTTGAGTAGTAATTTCCCAAAAAATTGTTTAGGCTAGGCCTTTTAGAGCAAAAATCACTGAAAAATAAAACACATCTTTTTTATAGCTTCTTGTTTTTTGAAATATCAAAACTAGAAATTTACTTCCTCTTTGTACTATACGACATGTATCGTGTCATAATTTATGATCTTCTTTGTTAAAGGCCCACTTTGGGAATTTTAAACATTTTTGGGCAAAATAAAGACTTACATTTAAATTTCATACTGTATGTCCAATGTATTGATAAGAACCTTATCTTTCATTTGACACCAATAACAGCTTAAATGGACCACATCAAAGCTTACAATAAATTATCAAAAAAATATTTTCGATCTGTCAAGCTTTATATATCAAGTTTTTATCAATGTCATTGAAAGATGGCAAAGTTGTTTGTATTACATGATACA